GCACATCTTACACTGTAACCTAGGACACTATGAAAGAACTAAGCAGTCCACTGATTAAGTCCTCTGAGGAGGTGGCTGAATTTGTTAGGTCTTCTCAGTACCTGCCTAATTCTTCCTGGCAGAACCAGATTCTTCACCAAATAGTGAGCTTTTGAGCCCAGTTGCTGGAGGCTGTAATCCTCTTTCTCAGTGAAGTTTTATTCAAGATTGTATTGCTTTATGAGTGATCAGTCATCAGGAAGAGGGAACCTGATTTTCTTCAAAGACGACGATCCTGTTCAGATTCTCAAAAATAAATTATAAAAAGTGTAAATTACAGTTTGAAATCATAGGTACGGGAAACATTCCTTCTTGTAATGCAGAAAACATCACTAGGTCTTAATGCTAGATATGAAGTATTGTATAATGTACCTGAGAATCTATTTATTATTCATAGATTCATAGAGCAAAAAAGACTAGCTCAAAAAAAAAATTCAAGCACTTGCAACAGGATTTCTCCAGAGTTCAGACACTTTAACTCCAAAATGCAGCCCTGCAAACCCTGAGCTACCTCCTTACCATGGGCACAACCAATTCAATAGCTTCTGTATTTTGTCATCTTTAATGATTTTAGATACCTCAACAGCTGTTGTGTCCATGTGCAGAGATGTCCAGACTTGAAAGCATTAGCTTATAAATAATACCTGCACTAAACATACTAATATGCTGAATATTAGTGAAATACCTAGAAACTTATGGGGAGTGGAAGGTAGAGAGATAGGCCAGTTCTTTGTCATGCCTGTTACATTCCAACGTCATTTGTCCTCCTTTAGAAAGGCTCCAGTATCAGACTGTAGGCTGTCTGGTGCAGAGCTGCTCTTCACCCTACCTGCTTTAGCAGTAACCTTCTGCTAAACTGGGGACTGATTTAGTTGTTCTGAGAGATCTCAGTGACAATGTAGAGGACTAGCATAGCAGACCAAATGTTTGCACTGTAGGGTCTGGAGGAGCCCTGTGCTCTGTTTTCTGTTCCTGTGTGAGTGGATATTATATAAAAACTGTTGCATGGACTGTGTTTCTTATATCTAAGTTGAATGTGTTTAGCCCTAGCTTCCTGTCACTGTTCCCTGTTGAACTAGTCTGTTGTAGATCAAGGAGTCATCTAAGCACCTGACGTTGTCTTTCTGTGGTATATTTACTTCAAGTAGTCTCTCAGTTTTCTTTAGGAAAAGTTTGACAGAGTGAACTCTGTATGTCTCCAGCTGCAGTGCATGTCCTCCATCACAGAATCATAGAATCATTTTGGTTGGAAAAGACCTTTAAGATCATCAGGTCCAACGATTATCCTAACACTACCAAGCCCACCACTAAACCATGTCCCTAAGCACCACATCTAGACATCTTTTGAACACCTCCAGGGATGATGACTCCACCACCTTCCTGGGCAGACTGTGCCAATGCCTAACCATGCCTTCAGTAAAGAAATTTTCCCTAATGTCCAATCTAAATCTCCCCTGGTGCAACTTGAGGCCATTACCTCTTGTCCTGTCATTAGTTACTTGGGAGAAGAGACCAACACCAGTCTCACTACAACTTCCTTTTAGGTAGTTGTAAAGAGCTATAAGGTCTCCTCTCAGCCTCCTCTTCACTACACTAAACAATCCCAGTTCCCTCAGGCGCTCCCCATAAGACATGTTTTCCAGACCCCTCACCAGCTTCGTTGCCCTTCAGATCATTTCTCTTCCTCCTTCTTTCACTTTTCTGCGTTGTTTTAAAAAGGTAGATGATGCTCATTATTGTTTGGAGTAGTCTAGTATTAATGTCAGCAATCTATATCAGATGATGCACCTTCCTATTCTTGCTTGCTTTTGTACTCATCATTAGTCAGTTTCTCCTAAGCCCTTTGTGCTGCAGTGAAGCCGTTATCTCACGTGAAATTCTTTCACGCTGTGATCTGTAAGCCTTCTGCATTACAGCTTTACATAGGAGCTTTCCCTGACTGTGTGTGTGCATCAGTGGTTTGCAAATCATTGACTTTGCATGTGACCACTACTAAAACACATTTTTTAAAAAGGTCTAGTTTACTGAGGGTTGTGGATTGCCCTTCTTCGCTATCACTGGCCATTCTGTTGGTCTTTGTGTTATCTGCAAATTACTTTAGAATTGAGTTTAAATTTACTTCTGTATCTAGAGAAAAATGTTACTGCTGCTGTTGCTGACACCTGCACCAATGCTGTAGTATAACTTTCACCTGCGTATTAGACTCGTTTCTTCCCAAGGATGGAAAAGCTCCCTTCATGCTTTATATTTTGGATCTAGCAAGCTAAAGACTGTCTGTCTTCCGCTGTAACATTCACAAGAAACCATCTCTGTGTGAGCCAAACCTTCCCATCCTTTTACAAGAAGCACATCTCCTACCTGCTGAAAGTCCATTCACGTATCCAAGGAAACAGGTTACTCATTATGTCACCTACCAAAACTACTTAATGACTCATGCTTCATTGCAGCTCCAGACGGGTTTAGCAGTGAGCAATGTAGCCTTTAAATCCCTGCTAGCGCAAAAATTATAGCTTTGTTTGGCCCAACTACTTTTTGTCCATGTTCATGGACATAAGTCTGCACCTTATCTGGGGGCTGATTGTTCACTGCCCCCAGCAGTGGTGCAGAGGGGATAAACAGCAAATATCCTGCTGCTAGCCAAGGAAGTCTGCGTCTGTCTTTGAACACATGGCGGTCTTGGTTTTGGCTGCCCAATCCACTTTCAATATGCAGCTAAGGACATTTCCCCTGAATCAGGCATTGCCTCAGCATGCTGATTGGCACAGCGGATGCTATAAGGTGAAAAGAGAGCATCACTGGATCTGTTTAGCAGGGCAGCACTGTGACTGGTGCCATCTCATGCTGCTGCTGCTGAGGGATAGACAGCTTGGTGCCCTGGTCATTCCATACCTGCATAACTACAGGTTTCTTGGCTCTTTATTCTGGCCTCTTCAGAATTCTGTCCAGCAGACTTCTGAGAAGTCATTGGTAAACCTCTTTAGTCTCCCTGTATTGCTTTAACTAAAATTATGTCACACAAATATCATGACCAACCCTTAATTTTAGGACATTGGCATTGAAAGCACTTGATTCCACGGAGCTGGACACTGGACATATACTAAAATGGAGGTTTTCAGCTGAAGAATTTATATTCAGATTATTAAATCAGTCAGGGGTGATAGAAGTTAGTAACTTTGAACAAGGTGCCACTATACTGCAGCAGGACTTGGGAAAGAACCAGAGTTTCAAATCCCATCCAGGCTCTAGTGAGTAGACCATGTTGTTGTCCAGCACTGAACATGGAAAATGAACTTGCCTGGGCTTTTCTGAATATCACCAAGGTGTTGTTAATTTAGATCTTTAGCTTCAGGCTTTTTATACCCATCTACGTTCCTACAGTGTTAGGGGTAATCTTCACGACTTCACTGGTGTATGTTGTCACACAGTATGATACCTCTGAGCCACCTTCTGATTTAAAACCAGAACAGGTTTGGCTTCTCAGACAGCTGATAAAGGTTTCTTGGTCCCCCATTGGAAAAGAGCTTGTGTTGCCAGCCTCCCTCCTTACTGCTTCTGTCACAGTGGTTTCAGAGAGATGGCACATGGTGGGGGGTGGGGTGCTGGAGTTAACCAGGTCCTGGCTCTGTGCTCCTCAGTGATCCCACAGTTTGCTGTGAGTGTCTCCATACTGACAAGCAGAAAAAGGTACCAGCTTTTGTATTACTGGAATCAGATCAGGGCCTGGGATCTAGGAAGTATCCTAGTTACTGGTCCTTCCTCAACCTGTAATTTGGGAAATTCTGGGAACTCAAAGGAAGTGAACAGTTTGCAAACTTGGGGTGATTAGACATAAAACTGAAGTGGTAATAAAACTGAGGAAAGCAAAGCTTCTTTTGTTTTCACCACCTACTAATATTTTTATTATTTATACTTGAAGCTTAGAATTCTCATATCATCTATTGCATTTAGGTAATAACGAGTGAAATTTTGTGAGATTTCCTGTCGCTATAGACTTGTTAAAATTGTGGAACTGATTTGTGGTCTTACCTATTGCAGTTACACAACTGAGCAATTTTATTTAACCTTCAGAAAGACCCAACTGCCTGAAATTCACTATACCAGAATTGGGTTTTATTGAAATGTGCACACCATGAATAGGGCAACTGTGCCTGACGTGTAGGTGTTTTGTCATAGGTCAGTGCATCCCACTGTAACATAAACAATGACTTGCACGTGCATGTGTCAAATCTTTTTCATTTAGCTTGTCATGTACTGGAATGCTGTGATGGCCTGGCCCAGGATGTCATCAGCACCATAGGGCAAGCATTCGAGCTTCGATTTAAGCAATACTTGCGATGCCCTTCTAAAATACCTACTTTCCATGATAGGTGAGTACAATTGCAGAAGACTGCCAAAGGATCTTCTTTAGCTTCGTCTTTACTTAATAAAATGTGCTGTGGACTAAGTTGCTGGAGAGGGACAGGATTTAAATACTTTAAAAAGAGATTTCTGCTGAATTAGCAAAGCAGAATTTACCTAATCAATATGAGAGCAGCACAGTCATTTTAAAAGAATGGGTTAAATACGGCTATCACAGTGAAGTTATTGAAATGATAATGTGTTTTCTGTTGCAGCTAGTAGGCAGAGTTGTATGGCCAAGAATGGATCTTATTTGTGACATTTTCTCATTGTTGCTCTCATAGCATCTCTGTCAATTTACACGAAGTGAGCTAGAGTTGCTAGGCTTCCAAAATGACTAGCGATGTTTCACTGTTTCTGATGTTAGCCAGGGTGAAGTTTTTAGGAATGTGATGCATTGTACAGAGGCTTTGACTGCATTGTTCTCTGGAGGATACAAAATCTATCTGCTTTTATGTTTAAAAGGCTGGGATATAGCATTCTGTTTTCTTTGGTGAGCTGTGTTTTTGACATGGATTTCTATATGCTTGCTGACATTATTATAAATCTCAGTAAGATGGTATCCTGTGTAATCTCTTCTATCAGAGTAAAATGAGTGTATGGTGAATATAAAATGCTACTATGCTCTCCGGAAACATTCTGTACTCACTTAGGACTTGTGTAAATGACTGTTAATTGTAGACTGAAACCACAGATCCGATCTCTTGACTTTGTGAAGTTCTTCCAGATTTATATTGGTGATAGGGCAGCTGTAATTAAGGACAAAGTTTTAGAGCTTAGTCAATCAATCAAGTAATAATATTACAAATGCTACCGTAAGGTTAAACAAAATTATTTGTTAATGCAGTTTATAATGGTCTTTAAAGCTAAGTAAAAACATTCTTTGCTCAGCATAAACAATTTAATCCATTGCAAAGGAGGTTTCAATTAGTTTTTATAAACAGAGAAGGTCTGCTGCATGATCCATCATTGCTTTCTGACTTACATCGGTAGCTGAATTATCAAAGTAGTATGCAACAGTGGTCCCCTAACAGGCCACCTTAACATACTGCAAGTATGGGTAAGTGCTTTGCAAGCAAGGGGCAAAATAAAGTGCTTGCTTTCCTACAGGGTGCAGAGTTTTGATGAGCCATGGGCAGAAGAAGATAACGAGGCAACAGAACATCCCTATTACAACAACATCCCAAATAAACTGCCCCCCCCCGGCGGCTTCATTGATGCCAGGCTCAAAGCAAGATTTCCCTCTGCTGCAGATACAGCTCAGGTCAGTGCAATTGCATCTCTGCCCTCCTGGTGATGGATCCAAAATTTTTTGAAAATGTGCATTTTAAGATGGATACATTGGGACAATTTATAGCTCACAGCTCTTCATGTGTGTCTAGTTTCCTTTTGAATGGCCACTGAAGATCTAGGGGGCAACAAATTAGGTGGGTTTGGAACAAATAAAAGGAGGTGAATTCCTCGTTCAGGTTCAAGGAAGAAAAATCCACTGAGGGTTACTACATTTGTAGAAACCATGTCTGCTTCAGAGAGTATTAAACAGTGCACACTAACTGGGAAATATTTGGTGCAGAATCGTTTCTAGCAGTTCATTATGTTAATAACTCAGCAGTGATCAGTATTCAGCCAGGTTCCTAGGCAGTCTGAACTGAAGCCAACTTGGATTCTTCTGCTATCATTGCTGTTGAAAGTTTGACTGCAGCATCAATGTAGCCACCTAAGAGGAGTTTTCTGATCCAGCACATCTCTGCTTAAATCCGGAGGGGGCCTTGTCTGTAGACAACATCCTCCCTTCAGTACCTGAATGCATCCCCTGGTACCAATGTGAGTCTTTTAGCTCATGCTTTGGAGGGTGCTGACAGTGTCTTCTGGTCCCAGGTGTGTTTCAGTGGAATGCTTTTCCCAGGCACTTTTTGTCAGGGCTCGCTATGTGAAGACAAGTGTACTAGAGGAGATGATGCATCATTTGGGGTTGCAGGGGTTAATAAAAGCATCAAGCAGTGAAGTTTACATGAAGGTCGCCCATAATGTCTTACACCTACACAAATGCATTTGTGAGATATATATTCTGACACTATGATAAATCAGAAATGAAGAGTGGGAGTACACAGAATACAGCCAAGGAAATTCTCACAGCCGCTCATAATATATGTGAGCATTTTAAAGGTAATTGAAAATTTCTTTGCACATGTGTCCATTCTAGTCTGCAGCAGGAGTGGGAGGAGAGCAAACCTATTATCAGAGTCGCCACTTAGAAGAAAAACTCAGTGAAGACTGGTATCATGAGCCTGTTAAGCAGGGTGAGTTTTGCTAGATTTAGCTGTAATACTGCAGGAGGTCTTGGGTGGGCAAAGCGTGTGAAAGTCTGATGCCTCAAAGTCTTAAGGCAATGAACTGCACTTTGTTGCTAGATTCCCTTTGCTTGAATTTTAATGTTATCGGTGAAAAGCATTTGGTAATTGCCTCTGGATAAATTATTAAATGCGTACCTTCATAAAAATCTTACCTTTTGCAGAGCAGTTCAGAAATAGAGTTGCCCCAAACCTTCAGCTCTCTAGCTTACCATGTCTTAAAACCCCATGGTATTTAAAGACAGGCTGCATGGTCTGTTCTGAAAATCTAACCCACTAGGGTATGCAAGATGGATTTTCCAAAGGAAGAACCTAAAGTCAGAAGTTTTCTTAGAATGTGGAGCACTGCATTTGTTTGTGCATGGTCTCTGCTCCATGGATAACAAACAATGCATAATGTTCTTTTTGTTGTCTATGAATTTTAAGCAAATCACATCAAAATGTATGTGTGAAATTTCACCCCATCCACCTTTATGTGACAGCTTTACTGTGTTTCTGGGGACACTTTCTTTTCAAATGCCAGAATATGTTATCTGTTCTTAATCTGCACAGATCTGAGGGTTTTATTCCATTTCCCTCTCTCATGACTCCCCAACTGAACATAATTTTTGAAACTGACTTTGTTTACAAGTTTCCTTTCCTCCTGAACAATAACACACCCCCAACCCTCATTGAAACACAGTTCTAAATCCGTTAATCAATATCTTTTCTGTTAGATTCTGCAGTTATTGACTTCACATCTCCCATTCCAGGGAATTTTAAACCGGGGGGGGGGGGGGGGGTTATTTGGTCATTATAACAATGCTGTTCTGTCAAATACAAAAAAGAAGAAAAAAAATCTTGATTTTTCTAGGATCTCTGGATATTTGTAGTATGCCGGAAGGGAAGTCACAAGTAACCCCAACAGCAGAGATGCCAACATACGTAAACACCCAGCATATAAATATAGAAGCTCTATTGGCACTTCAGGCAGATGCTGAAAGTACCTTCAGTGGAACAGCAGGTGAAACCAAAGAGAGCAGCCCAGTAAAGGATCTGTTTGACATGAGTGAGTTCTCTTCCTATTCATTCCTTTTCTAACAAATGACCCAATATGCTTATGTGTTAATTCTGTATAAAAATAATTTGTAAATTCTCAAAATTTTTGTATTCCTGGTGGAATTATGGTGAATTTTAGAGTTCATGGTGGTTTTGTATTGGACTGAGTTAAATAAGGGTGACTGAAGATTTGAAGCTAGTTTATATTGCATCTGAGTTAAGGTGAGTTGTGGCAACTACATCAGAAGGAAAATAAATCAGGAGGCTTGTCATGCAGGAAAGTGAAGGAGTGAACGGCTGGAGAATTAGCTGTGAAAATGTTACGAGGAAGTCGATGCATGCTACAAAATCTTTGTGCAACAACAAAGCTGGGCGGGAAATTAAAAGGCTTTTGCTTTGGATGTGCCTCCTATCCTAGCCTGTCTAGCTATCTGTTCCAACTTTAAGTCAGCTTTTCTAAAATTTGAATCATAGCTGTAGCTGTAAAACAATGGTTTAAGCATCAGTCCTAATTTGATATTAGTGCTACCAATACACATTATTTTCAGCCTTGAAGAGATTCTTAACAGGAAATAGGGGGAAAGCAGTTTGACGAACAGAAAATTTTTCTTTGTTTTTCTACTCTTCCTACTTCAAACCCATTTATTTAATTCAGTTCACATAATTAAAAGGCAGTGAGTCAAAGCAGTTGGTGCCTATATGTTATTTGTAAAATAACATATCTACATTTCTGTTATCTCAGTATACATAAAACTGTCTTCTTGGCATATTTTATTTTGCTGAGATATGGCTCTATTTCCACAGCTTAGGGAGATTTTGGATTAAAAGAAAAGGGGGAGGAAGAAAGTTGAGAGAGTGTCTATCTGTGAATACAGATCTGAAATGAGAAAAGTCTGCTGCCTGAAATCAAGGGTGTTAACTTTGATTTCTAACATGCCATGCCCTTAAAACATACACATGCTTCCTTCTATTTTATACACATTCTTTTCCTAAAAATAAGGAAAATTGATTTCTCATCTTCCAGACTTCATCAACCTTTATTAACCATTAACCATTGGATCACTGAGGAAAAGTAGTGTTAGAAAATGTGTCAACTAGCCCTAAGTTAGCATTTTGTCAAGGTAAACATGTGTTTGGCTTAGTGCAGACGTATGCAACGTAGTGAAGACATATATAAGCTGGTTCTAAGAATTAGCTGGGGTATCCATAACCTGTAACAGCACAGTATTTACCCTGTTTTTTTGAGCTAAATTAACCTCTCTGTGGCCCCAGCAAATATGGCTGTGTACTCTTTGCATCTGAGCAGTCTATTTAGAGCTGGTGTATTGCTTCACAGTACTGCTCTGCAGAGGTCCTTTTTTTAAAATCTAGTGGGCACAGAACAATATCTCTTTTTAATATGTACTAGTTGGCCAGATGAAGGTCTTTCAAGGGAAAATAGCTTCCGATAGGTCAGTACAGCATATAATGAAGCATGCACTGACCTATTTACTATTTCTGTAAGACTGTTGGGATCTGTAATGACACATCTTTCCATTCATCTCTACAGAAAGTAACACTGTGTTCAGGTTTTAGATGAGGTTTAAAAGGTGCTTTTCAATATCAGCTAGGTAAATCACGTTAAAGGTATTAGCGTGCTGTGTTGCAAAGTCCTCTTCCTAGGTGGAGGCTAGGGGTAGGCTGAGTGGTAAGGGTGTCCGATCCCTTCTAGACATACTCAGGCTGGAGACTCAGTAATGGATAATTTTTAAATGAGTATATTATTTGAAGAGAGACCGGATATGAGTATAATGACACTGGGTATCCGTATTATGCAATTTATTTTAAATGAAACTGATGTACCTGGCAAGACAAAAGGAGAGCTCTGCTTGGTACCAGGGCATATAAATGCAACTGTTGACAATAGCCATTACTGAAATAAAATCAGTACCTTTCAAAAGCTCCTGACAAGGTTTACTCTGATTTTTATCAGCATCCTTCTGTGCTTAACCTACATTTTTAACATATTACACTCCTCAGTCTTAATATTATCCAAAAATCAGTGGGCCTAACAGTACATCTTCCCTCAATTTTTTTCATAAAGGGAAGCGGCTATAAGACAAAATAAATCCAGTTACAAATGACTGGAATATCACCATTTTGTAACGTGATTTACCTCTGGATGTTCTTGCTCTTGTTTCTGTTTCCATAACCAGAACCATTTGAAGATGCCCTCAAAAATCAAACATCTGAGGCTGCATTGAGGAAACCCACCTCCACGGGATGCACCAGTCCTCTTGTATCCAGAGCTGCTGACTCGACTGCAGCTGAAGAGCTGAGTACAGAGCCATGGTATCAAGGAGAGATGAGCAGGAAAGAAGCAGAACAGCTCTTAAAGAAATGTGGAGACTTCCTTGTGAGGAAGAGTACCACGAATCCTGGCTCCTATGTGCTGACAGGCATGCACAATGGACAAGCCAAGCATCTTCTTTTGATGGACCCAGAAGGAACTGTAAGTGCTGACTCCTCAGTAATACAAGAGATTTCTGACTCTACACATTTTCTCTCAATGTATTTAATCTTGTTTACAAGATTATTCCAACTGATCTTAAGTACAGTGTCATATCTCTAGCATGCCATCACATCTCTAATTCTCTCCCTGTGAGAGAGAAGCATTGCAGAAGACCCACTGCATGATTTGTGTACATTGCAGGGAGCCTTAGGGACCTGGAACCTAGGTTCCCCAGGAAGGTCGAGCTTTGGCTACTGCTGCACAGTCTTAGTCAAATGTGCAGCTAAGCCACTTCTTCAGCCTTCCT